CCGCTGACGCGCGGCCTTCGTTTGCAGCTGCGGGATGACGCGCCCCTGGTGGACGTGGCCCTCGCCACGCACGTGCTGGACCTGAAGCAGATCTCACACGCGGGCCGCGCGGGTGAGCGCATCTGGGGGACGCCTGACGCTTCCACCTGGGCCCCGTCCGCCCTGGATCCCGCCCCGACGGCAACCCCCATCCTTCGCTCAGAAAGCCAGGTCCACCCACAGGCCTAATTGTGCTCCACGAGGGCGACTCACCTGGCGCCCCCAGACTACAAACCCCACCCTTGCTTGGCTCCGTTGACAATCCTAACGAAAGCTGCGCATCCAGTAACCACTCCAGCCCTGTGCTCCCTACAGATTTACACGGACACACGCAAATCCACATTATCCGTTCACCCCTAGCCCCTAACGGGATCGCCTGTAGCTCGGCCGCAATCCTGACTCCACCTCTCCGCCCCTGGTTCCCCTAGAGCAGCGGTTCTCAACCTGTGGGTCGCGACCCTTTGGGGGTTGAAAGACCTTTCACAGGGGTCACCTAAGACCATCGGAAAATACATATATAATTACATATTGTTTTTGTGATTAATCACTATGCTTTAATTATGTTCAGTTTGTAACAATGAAAATACATCCTGCATATCAGGTATTTACATTATGATTCATAACAGTAGCAAAATTACAGTTATGAAGTAGCAACGAAAATAATTTTATGGTTGGGGGTCACCACAACATGAGGAGCTGTATTAAAGGGTCGCGGCATTAGGAAGGTTGAGAACCACTGCCCTAGAGCCTAGACACCAACTGTTGGCAGCACCTTGGAGCTGACCTGGTTTAGAAGTTCTCCGAGGTGGTGGTCCACAGCTGTCCGTCCACAGCTGTACACAGACTTCCCTCCCAGAGGCCCAATCGGACACCCCGCTCCCTGGAACTTGCAGGAAATAAGGGTGTAGTGCATAGACTGACTTAGTACCAGCCCCATGTTCCTCTCCAAAATACTGTTTTTGTCCCCAACAGCGGGGTTTAACCCCACCTTCGGTCCAGCCTGGGTGCCTCTGTACGGCTCGCCCCCGACTGGGGGAATCCGGGATGGTCTTCAAAATCTCAACGAAGGCCTGGGCGAAGGCATTTGGTTCCGGGGCCGCCTGCTGGTGGCTGTGTCCATGGAGGTGTTGGAAGGGAGAACTGAACCCGAGCCTCTCCAGGCCCCACAGGGGTCCAGGTTGTCCAAGCTCATGGGAAAGAAGAAGAAAGCCAGGCGGGGCCAGACCCCAGTGAGGATTCAGCAGCATCTGGATGCCAGCGCCAGTGCCGGCGGGCCTGAGATTCCTAGTGCGATGGAGGTGGAAGTAGAGGAATTGCTGCCACTGCCGGAGGTGGGGGCCGGAGTTTAGCAAAGGAGCGGGATCACCCTCCGCTCTGGAGTGTAACTGGCTCCAAGGCATTAGATACAGAGAGTGTATGTGTGTGTGTGTGTGGTGGGGGCGGTCTCAACTGTGGGACCTGGGTGAAGACTGCAGTTCGTGTGGCTCTTATATATATACCCTTGTGGGGAAGTGGGACTGATCAGTCCGAGGTGGGCCAGGGAGAATAAGCCCCAGATCCAGTGGGTTAGGGCTGCAGGGGCGGAGAGGGAGGTGGGATATCTGCAGTGATTCTTCCGGGGCCTTGGTTACAACATCTTCCTGTGGGCATTTTGGCCAAGCATAGTCTGGGCTGTAACCTGGGAGGGTGGGCCTGACTCCAGCCTGACTGTCTTCCCCAGAATGCCCTGGCGCCCTGTGAAGATTTTCTGCTTTTTGGTGTGCTCTTCGAGGCCACCATGATTGACCCTGCCATGGCCTCCCAGCCCATTGTCTTCGAGATCTCCATTGGTGTGTGGCCTAGCTGAAACCTCTGAGGGTCATGGGTTTGAGGGTGAACTTGTTCCAGACTTAAGGCTCCTGGAAGGGACAGTTCACCTTCAGTCAGGGGTAGACGCTGACTTCTATTGAGGCAGAGGAGGCTGAGGGAGGGGTCAGCCCCTCAGCCAGGTGCCTTCTGACCCTTGCTGTTCTGTCTGGGCAGGTCCTGCAGGCCGGGAGGAGCAATTGGGCCAAGGGCCCAGGACCCGGGAGGGAATGGAGGGCGGGGAGGAGGAGGCGCAGCCGTTGCTGGAGTCTGAGGTGGGAGTCAGGCTGGTGGAGGAGGAGGAGCTGGGGACCCCTGCTCAGCGGCCTGAACCCATGGATGGCAGCGGGTGAGTGTTCCTGGTGGCTAGAAGGAGGGCACTGGGGGAACCCCAGCGGCCCCAGGGCTGCCCCTCACAGCCTCTGCTCCTCTTCGCCCCGGCCCAGGCCATACCTATGCCTGCCCCTGCATCACCGCAAACCGTGCGTGCGTGTGTGGAGCCGCTGGGAGAACCACACATGGCGCCTGCACAGCAGTAACTGTGTGCGGAAAGTGGCAGAGAGGCTGGTGAGCGTGAGGCGGGCGCCCACTGGGAGAGGCCGGGCCATAGGGGCATCGGGGAGACTGCGGTCTTTGAAGGGAGCTCTGGAGCTGGGCTAGTGGGTAGAGCAACAGGGAGCCAGGACCGGTGTGACTGATGCAAAGCCAGAGGGTCAAAGGGCACAGCTCGTGCCTGCACTGAGGAGACCAGAATTGTGGGAGCTCAGGGATCCAGAATTGTTGGACCCAGGAAGGGGCCAGCGAAGGACATGGGTAAAGCTACTGGGGGATCCCGCCCAGTAGGGGTGCTAGAAAAAACAGATCCACCAACCTCTTAAAGACAAAAATGGGCGGGGCGAGGAGGTGCAATGTGAATGGGGGTCCTGGGGTGGGGAGCGGTCTAAAGAAGGTCCGAGTCTGGGACTCCTGACTCTGACCCTCTCGCTCCGTCCCTCGTGCAGGACCAGGGGCTCCAGGAGGTTGAGAGTCTGCAGCGCAGGCCAGGCTCTGGCACCTGCACACGACTCAAGCAGGCGCTGGAAGAGCTGGTGGCTGGGAGCAGGTGAGCTGAGAGCCTATCTCTGCGCCAACTCCAGGGTGGTGGCTGTTTGGACCCAAGGGCAGGGGGAAGCTGCGTTTACTTAGCTTTACAGAAGAATGAGAAGGAGATGATTGTCCCTATGGAGGAAGCTTGATGGAAATTATTGGGGATTAGATCAGTCTCCCCCCATAAACTTGCTTTCCCATGCTCCTAGAATCCTATGCTTTTACTCCTCTCCTCAAATGTCCCCTGCTCCTTTCCTCCACACTTGTCCCAGCTAATAACCTCTTCTCCGGTGTCATAGATAAAAGAGAAGCCTCACCTTCCTCCAACCAGCCTACTTACTACCTTTGCCAATATCTGTATCCATCTACTCTCCTTCCTTCCTGCTACATCGCAGGAAGTATCCTTGCTCCCATCGCACAGCTGTGATCTTGATTTTTTAAAAAAATATATTTTTATTGATTTCAGAGAGGAAGGGAGAGGGAGAGAGAGAGAGAAACATCAACGATGAGGGAGAATCATTGATCAGCTGCCTTCTACACGCTCCCTACTGGGGATCAAGCCCGCAACCCAGGCATGTGCCCTTGCCCGAATCCAACCTAGGACCCTTCAGTCCACAGGCTGACACTCTATCCACTGAGCCAAACCAGCTGGGGCTGTGATCTTGATTTTTATCTCCTCTCTCTTACTGGAGGAATTAGTCAAGTGGTCCTTAGTTATCAGGGGCTGTGATCTTGATTTTTTTTTTATTGATTTTTTTTTTTTTACAGAGAGAAAGGGAGAGAGATAGATAGTTAGAAACATCGATGAGAGAGAAACATCGATCAGCTGCCTCCTGCACATCTCCTACTGGGGATGTGCCCGCAACCCAGGTACATGCCCTTGACCGGAATCGAACCTGGGACCTTTCAGTCCGCAGGCCGACGCTCTATCCACTGAGCCAAACCGGCTTCGGCTGTGATCTTGATTTTTATCTCCTCTCCCTTACTGGAGGAATTAGTCAAGTGGTCCTTAGTTATCAGGTCATTATGTAACCACATATACTTGTCCCAGTCGCTTCCATCTTTGACCTTCACTGACCCGAATGAATTCTATAAGCTGCTCCAGGTATGCCAGTGTTCTTCTGATCCTCTTCTCAGAAGAGGTAGTAATCCATGTATTCAGTCAGTATTCATGACACCTACTGTGCCAGACACTGTTTTAGGCATTGGAATAGCAGTGAAAAAGCATTCTTGCCCACCACAATTCCTGAAACTTATGTTTTGGTGGTGGTGATGGGGTGGAGGCTGGAAACATGTAAACAAAAGGTAGAAATGTAAGAAGTATGATAAGGATAAGTGTTAGGGAGAAAATAAAGGAAGGAAGTATTAGAGAGCAGTATTGCAATTTAAAAGGGGGGAGGGCAGTAGGCCACTGTGAAGTTGACATGAAGAAGATGAAGGAGCAAACCATGTCTGTAAGGCTGTTCCAGGCATAAGGGACAGCATGTGGAAAGGCCCTGAGATGAAGCATGCCTGGTGTGGTTGAGGAGGAGCAAGGGAAGCAGTGTGACTGCAGCAGAGTGAGCAGAATAGATAAGGCTGGAGGGTGTAGGGGAAAGGAGGAGGATGGTCAGAGAAGAATGTGGGAGCTGTGTAGACCATTGTCATGACCTTGGCTTCTTCTCTGAGTGTGATGGAGAGCCACTACTAGTAAAGGTTCTGAAAAGAGAAGGGATATGCTCAAACTTATCCTTGAAAAGAACCAGTGGGGGAGGGATGACATAAGAGGAAGCAGAGAGATTATTAAAGAGGGCATTGTGACAATCCAAGTGACTGATGATGAATTGAATCTAGGGTGGTTGCAGTGGACATAGAGGGACATGAATGGATTCAAGAGCAATTTTGGACTTTGGAGATGATACCTTAGGACTTGCTAATGGATATATATAGGGGATGAGGCAAATGTGCAAAGAAAAGTATTGAATGACTCCCAAGATGTTGGCTTGCACAATTATGTAGATGGTGCTATTTACTGAGCTATGGAAAACAAGAGAAGAAGGTCTGATAGAATCGAATATCAGAAGCTCATTTTTGGATATGTTTACTTTGACATAAATGTCTAGTAGACTTATGAGTGGACATGTCTGCCAGGCAGTTAGCTATATGAGCTGAGTTCTATGGAGAGTTCTAGGCTGGAAATGAAAAATTTGGAGCTGTAAATGCATAGATGGAAATGGATAAGACCATCTAGGAAGCAGAGAAAGGAAAAATTTGAGGACCTGAGAGCTCCAGCAGTTAGAGGCAGTGTGGAAGAGGAATACTCAGCCAAGGGCCTGGTCATAGGTGGTCACTTTTCTGTCCTCACCTTAATCTTTCAGAAGTCAGTGGGCACGGTTGACCCACCCTCCTTCTTGAAAATCTCTCTGTTAACTTTCATGACCCTGGTTTTCCTTCTGCATTCCTGACCATTTCTTCTCATCAATTTTGCCAGCTCCCTCTCTTCTTGACCTCTAAATGTTCCAAATGCTTCATTGTAAAGCTCTCTTCTTTGTCTCCATTCTCTCTATCTCCAAAAGAGCAACCACATTCAATTCAATTTAATTCCTTGCTTGATTTTTCTATACAGCAAAACTAAACTATTTCCACTTTTATTTAAATGAAATTATTTTATTACAAAGATTATCCTTGGGCAGGGACATTTCAGTGAAAAATTTCCCCATATCATATTTCACTATTTATAGCTTTAACCAATGTGGCTTGCTTTTGTGGCTATTATTTCTACTAGATCCAATTTCCCTGAATCCAGTTTTGTGGATCTGAATCTTGTCAAGAAGATTTGATTCTTCTGTCAATTTTCAATCAATAGCAAATGTTCCTAGATGCCTTTTTGCTTTTGGAGCAAAGAACAGTAATAAGCTAAAAGTGTAAGCTCTTGGATTAGTATTAGGTGAAAAATTTTCAGAGTCACATATAGTTTTGAAAATTTCCATAATAAAAACTTAAATCAGTGGGGGTAAAAAATGTCCAAAATATGTTTCATAAAGTATTTTACTTTACCCAACAAACATTTTTTGAGCATCTACTAGGTGGCAGGACCTAAGGATGCAACGGTCATCAAAATGAAGTCCCTGCCCTGCCTTACTTCCTATTTAAAGAGACAGATAAGGCAGAATCTGAGGACAGAGAGTGGAGGGTTTTTTTTAGACTAGATGACCAGGGGAGGTCTGTGAGGAGGTAACATTTGAGCAGAGACCTGAATGAAGAAGGCGAGTGAGCCATGCCAAGATCTAAGGCAGAACCTTCTAGCAGAGGGAGCTGCAATTACAAAGCCCCTAAGGCAGCAGTTCTCAACCTGTGGGTCGAGACCCCTTTGGCGGTCGAACGACCCTTTCACAGGGGTCGCCTAAGACCATCCTGCATATCAGATATTTACATGACGATTTATAACAATAGCAACATTACAGTTAGGAAGTAGCAACGAAAATAATTTTATGGTTGGGTCACAACATGAGGAACTGTATTTAAAGGGCCAGAAGGTTGAGAACCACTGCCCTAAGGGAATAGGTTTGGTGTATTCACAGAGGAGCAAAAAGGCCCATGTGACTGTAGGGTTTTGCATGAGAGGAGAGTAATGTTTAATGCAAAGAGATAAAGTGAGCCAGACGTGTAGGGCCTTTAAGCCATTTAAAAAACTTTGTTTTTTCTTCTGAGATGAGAAATCTCTGGAGAGGAGTGAAATGGTATTGAAAGCATTGAAAAGATCACTGGGGTTGCTGTATTGAGAATGTGCTGTAGGAGAGGGGGCAAGAGTGGAAGTAGTGAGAGCAGGTAGGAGGTTGTTGCAATAATCCTAGGTGAGGAAGGATGGTGACTTGGACTAGAGTGGTCCTGGGAAAGGAGAAAGTGGTCAGATTCCAGATATATTTTGAAGGTAGAGCTTAAATAGTGTGTTGGTGGATTGATGTGGGATGTAAGAGAAAGAAAGAGCAATGAAGAATGACTGAAATTTTGGAGTAAAGCAGGATTTTTGGGAGTGGTGGTGGAGTGGGGATAGTCATTGGAAATCACGCCCTTGATTTGGTCCTGGGAAAGGAGAAAGTGGTCAGATTCCAGATATATTTTGAAGGTAGAGCTTAAATAGTGTGTTGGTGGATTGATGTGGGATGTAAGAGAAAGAAAGAGCAGTGAAGAATGACTCTGAAATTTTGGAGTAAAGCAGGATTTTTGCGGGGTGGTGGTGGAGTGGGGATAGTCATTGGAAATCACGCCCTTGATTTGGGCAGGTAATGTTTGAACTATGTTTGGTCAATTTGTTGGAAATGTCAAGCACAACTCATCTGAGCCTTTAATATGCTTATGAATCCCCCAGGGTGTAAGCATGCAGATTATGG